ATCTCGTAGCAGTCCGTCCAACAGCAGATCCGAAGAAACTGGCTGTAGATGGCGATCTGTCCACCCAGACCCAGCAGACCTCTCAGTCCTCTTGGGCAGCAGGACTGCCTGAATGCTGGGCTAAACTCTTTCCCGAGCGATGGCCATTTCTCCCAGCAGCCTGCCGAGCCCCTCGTCGCCGCGGACTTAACTGCAGGTACCAGGGGACGATCTCGGTCCTCCCGTTGTCACAAGCTGTGTTTCCCGCCTCCAAGATCTCGGCGATCAGGCACTCGAGCACAGCCTCCAGGTAGACGGTAATGCATCCATGGCACCTCCTTTTCAACTCATTTGGAATTTGGGACTGTAGTTGAGGTATTATTTGAGTTTTTAAGATGTTAATCAGAAGCTCCCAGTTGTATAAAACCACCTTGTTGTCATGGTTACGCATCATATCAAATGTCCAAAATTAAAAAAGGTTTCAGTAAAAATTCTTCCAGCGGCACAGCATCTGATACCAGAGGAAGTAATCATCCGAAAAATGTGATTTACATCCAGAAAAATGAGTAAGTAAAGTTTTCAAAAGCAAAATCTCAGAATGAATGTAAGAGAGCTACTCCAACATTCAGCCACCTTGAGTGGAGCAATCAAAGAACTTTTTTAAAAATGGAAACATACACACTTTTTGTTACACACTCACATCAGCGAGACACGAGACCAGGCCTTCTCATGGACTATAAATCAGCCTTGGAAGTTTCAAACTTTTCAGCACTCACATACGAGCAAAATCACAATTGGACTCCTTTGCCTAACTGTGTACAGGCATTAAAACAAGAAAAGAAGTCCAGTCACCTTTCCAAATGTAACTCTTAGGATGTCCTGGATGACTCAGAATATACATTAACCTCTTACAAGAAACTCTGTCTCACTGAAAGCAAAGTTTTAAAAAATGAGAGCTTATTTAAAACTTTTGCACAGTACAGAATAAATACAGTTGTCCCTCGTTTATCACGGGGGATCTGTACCCTGAAGCCCCGCAATAAGTGAAAACCACGAAGTAGGAATAGTAGTACAAGTAGTAAGTAGTAGTTTATTTTAGTATATATTATAAAGGCGTTTTAAACCCTTCCCAGTCTTGCAATATTCTAAACAATGTTTCTAAACAATGTTTCTAAACTCTAAACGCTCTAAAAGAGCACAGAATGCCAGGATTTCAGCTCTCTGCCTCCAGCTGCTCTCTGCCATCTGCCAGCGCTCTCAGCCACGCCCACTTCTCTGCTGCAAAGTGGAGATCTAACATGCTGCAGCTGTGGGCTGCACACAGGTGCAGCAGGTACTAAATAATTTAAATGAATTTATTTTACATAAAAATTCCATGCCGATCATGTGGTTCATCCATCAATCAGCCAATTGTGTCATGTCCAATCTTATTTTGAAAAACCGCAATAGGGCGAGTCCGTGAAAAACAAACTGCGAAGTAGCGAGGGACTACTGTATAGTACATACAGAAACAGTCAGTACAACCAATGAATCTACCTCCAGCAGCTCATCTCCCACCACCATTTGTCCATCCCTGCCGGCGGCACCGTTGGGGTCTATCCCCACCACGAACACGCTCATGCAGGCGCGGTCCCTGTTTCCCGCCAGACTGAGCCCCAGGCCCGTTTTACCTTTCTCCAGCTCAATCACGTGGAGGACTCCTGGAAGACTGCCATAGCGCTGGATGATTTTCTCTGTGAGAGGAAGAGGAAAACATGTCAGCTGACAGTGTCAATGACGTTCAACCTCGTCCGCTTGTATAAAATGTAAAACTCTGAGCCGATGAGACGGTTAGATTAAACAATTCGCTGATGAATGATAGTTTTATGTCACCTTTCATCTCAGACTCAACCTCACATTTCTTTTTTAATTCTCACTGCAGCTTCTCCTCTTCCTCTCTCTCCACCTCTGCTGTCTCTGGCGTGTTCGATAGCCACTCTTCAGTTCAATGGGCTCGTGTTGTTCTGGGCTCCCTGCCACTGTTGAACCATCAGTTCCCGTACTACTAATCTCCACTACTCACCTCTCCGGGCCCAACCTCATCAATCTTATCCCCGCAGGATGGGCTATCTCTAACATACACACACACACACACACATATATACTCTCCACAGTCCAGGGAGAGTTGGAGGCTGAAAGTGTGTCCTTTCTGCTTACAAATCTGTTTGAAGGCTAGAGTTCAGCTACAGCTGACACCTTACTGAGTCCAAGTCAAGCGTGAGAACCAGAGCACCATTATTGGCTCTTAAAGAAACATGGGACTTGATTGCCCTCGTGTGGCCATTTACCATCATTGCAGCACATAAACCAATCCAGATAGAAATGAGATGCAGAAACATCCTAAAGTGAACTCACTCCAGCTGTACCCAAACTCATCCTCCTCTTCCTCTGCCTCCTCCACTGCTTCTGCGGGTCTGTCGGGATTATCTGCAAGCGCGTCCGTGTCGCTCTCTCCCACGTGGGGCAGCAGCGGGAGGACGAAGCCGCCGGGGGACGCCTTGGCCGCTTCGCGCTTCGCCAGCTGCCGCGCCGCAGGGAGAAGGTGAGGGAGGAGGGAAATGGTTTATTAGTGGAAGATAAAAAGAAGAGGCAGAACGTTTGAATCAGTGGGTGCTCAGGCTCTCAGATAGGGCATATATAAGCTGTTGATGTCATCAACAGATGTTTTATATATGCTTGGGTTCATTAAAGCGTCATACATCTCAGCAGATGTTAGATTTAAGCTGACAAGGTGGACATGAGTAACAGGTTTGAATCAGAATGAGGTTTTTGAACTACTGTAAGCATGGGCTGGTTTCTGGTTGTTGTTTTTCCCTTCAGGTCAAATTAGTTTTATAGAGACGTCAGAAGCACGGTGGTGTTGTAAGCAGCACAGAGTTAACGCTCATCCTCTCGTACCTGCTAAGAGCCTTTTATCACTGCACCATTGAAAGCATGCTCACATGCCGTGTAACAGTGTGGTATGTGAATTGCACAGAGGCAGACCGGAAATGTCTCCAACACATTATTAAAAGGTCAAAAGAAACAACACAATGCCATCTCTGGAAGACATCTTAAAGATGTGACCCATCCAAGCCATCATTTATTCTCCCTCCTACCTTCTGGTAGGCACTACAGAGCGGTCAAAGCTAACAGACAATTCTTACTCAAAGGTCAGTACTGTCTCCAGATGCAGGAAGAGGGCCACCTGCATCATGAAGGACCCCACTCACCCAGCACACACACTTTTTGCCCCGCTCCTCTTAGGAAGAAGGTTGAGGAGCATTAAGTGTAGAACCACTAGACTGAGGCTGTTAAGACTCATGAAACTCTAACCAGAATAATCACTGTGAAAAAATCACATCATGTTGCTGCTGATCTGTTTCAATATTGATGTGTTCATGCGTGCTCATCTGCTTACACAGACTCATGTTCATGTTTGTGCTGATGTTCAACGTAATGTTT